TTGTTCCTTGTGGAAAGGCGGTTCAGAAAATGGCTGTTTTGTGACGAGAAACGGTCATCTCGGAATACACTTTAACTCCATCCATTTGATGGCTGGGTGTTTAACAAATTCGCATGAGGCTCATTACTTAGTAAAACACACGATACTGTAAACATGAATAGTCCAGTTGTTTATGTAAAAACTGAATGTAGTGACTTTATTTGTGCCAAGTTCGTTACTTGTGGATATTCTAAATCTCCGTTCATGAAATTTGACAGAACTCTTTAACAAGAATAGATCCATGGCAGTCACCATATTGATATCTCAGCAAATGTCTTTATAAACACAAGGGTTATTTTTATAATCTTCCAAGCACCATTATAATTAGATTCAAATACATTGATAGCATGCATGAATTATGCCAATCAAGTTGGTTCAAATTATTCTAAAGAGTATTCTACAGCTGTTCGATTCAACCTAATTTACTATAGATACATTGTAATATTTTAATTCACAGCAGCGCTGAGCACATTACACATTACATGCCTCGCGACCTGCGATCAATTCCCGTCCATGGCCAATTTCAGTGACTTGTGATTTCCTGGCTTTGCACCTTCAGCAATCAAAAAAGCAAGCGACGTATGCTAATTAGGTGGTTATGTCATGACTGGGCAGCTGATATTCTGACGATTCTAGAGAATTAGAACAATCTGATTTCATGGCGCGTCAACCGCCCTAGCGCTTCGATTGCTAGCGTTGCAATGGCCACACCACTTTGAAAATATTGCTGGAAAATGTCCTTACGGTCACAAAATGTTGATATGTTCAGCAAACATAAATTAGGTGGTAGGGCCACATTTATGATTTAATTTTGCAAATGTGGGTGGGTTAGGATGTTTGCCAAACTGCTGGTACGTAATGGCCTGGACTTGTGAAATGTGAATGACGTCATTGATCTTGAAAAATGCATTTTAGAACAGATGGTCTATTTATGTAATGCTCCACAAAAAATACCGGACTACTGAAGCAAATGTACCTGGCTCAGTGGCGCTCAATGGCACAAAACACCACTCCAGTTCCATCTCTTCACTTAACGCTAAAACACTTTTTCTTCTGAAGAAAGGCGCAATTGCAAAATACATCCTGTATATTGTTGACAATTCATGCTGAGCTTTCATTGTAGAAAAAAAAATGGAATTTAACTCTGCAGATGGTGTGAAATATCATTGTCATCCGCTATGATTTTTCCACTGCTGGATGAAGGTTTCACCCACGCCGTCGCCAACCCTGATGGCCAATGGAGCACACGATCTGATCTCGTTGCTAAAATCTCCACAGGGCATTTGCTCCCTCCTGGCCTTCATTAAATATTTGAAGCATAAATAAATATTGTACCGTATTTATTTACTCTCTTGGTATTTCAGAGTATATCATTCATTGCCATTATTTGTTGACGGTGACTGGTAAGTTTGTAGATATGTGTAATACTGTGAAATCCAACCAGCCTAAATCCGCAACAGAAATAAACAGAAACGTAATTAATAAACACATTTCAAAATACTCTTGGGCACAATATTGTTTTCTTACGTAAAAAAAATGCCTTTCGCCTGCCCACATGTTTTAAATTACAGTCTGTAAATTCAGTGGGAGACGCAGATACACATGGCTAGAAAATATATTTATCATCACTACCAGCTGTTTTCATTGCTCATAATGAACGTGGATTCCCACATTCATACAATCCGGTGCATAATGGTAACTATAGTTGTTACGTGATATAATTTTTCCAAGATATGATAAGATATACATTTTCACGATATGACGATTAACACAATATCACATTTCCATAACTTCGTAAATGTATTTCACATTTGTATTGTACCATGAACTGAAGCTCATACAACTGAAGCTTGGCATAAGTCTTCTAAACATTTATAGCGCTTATAAAGCACATGCTGTTATTTACACAACTAATAATGAATTGAACTATGGAAATAATTATGTCATCGCCATGCTATTAATTAGTTCAGAAAACATAAGAAAGCATTCCAAGGTTTTAATAGATCATAGCAATTAATTTAACACTTGCATTGTTGAGTTTTTTCATTTATAAATCTTTTGTCAGGGAATAAAATATAGTATTTCAGTCAAAATTATATGAGCAACCACAAACATTACATGATGATATTTTGTAAGACGAATGATACGATCATCTTGGAATTAATATTGCGTGATGTATCTTAGTTTCGCCATGTCGCGACCACCCTACTGACCTTGCAGGCAGAGTTCGAGGACCATGCAGAGATCATCGCGTGGGAGACATGCAGAGCTAGATGGTAATCTGTATTAGTGTTATCCGCACTATTGCCTGTGACCAAAACTCCCAGAATGCGTCCGATCGCGTCAGATCTTGGAAGCTCAGCTGGTTTTGAGCCTGGATAGCGTTTGGGTGGTTGACCGACATGCATAAGAGAGGTTGTTATAAACTGCAGGGCTACATGGTGGACAAGATCGGGAAGTGTGGTCATTGTATTATGTTTCTATGTCCCTGCGTCCATGCTCTCCACCTTAAACAACCCGCGCAGATGAGTGTGGTGAAGTACGGTCAGAAAACCTTCACAACGTGCATGGATGTGGGGATGCTCTCATCCAGCAGTGGATTAATAAGGGGCTGTATGTGTACATGCTCATCCGTGGGTGTGTTTTCTCATGGTGCATGGCCGAATAATTAGGATTTGGAGCAATGTCTCAAAGAGGATCCTTTTGAAAAGTGGCCTTGCAGCTCAGCCAAGCTTTTCTGAATGCATAAACCAACTGTTGTTGTGACACTTAAGATATCACTTCATGTGTAATGAGTGGGACCTCATAATGTATCCGTTCGGCAACCAGAAGCCAATGCGGCTCAGCGAGCACTGGACGGACGTGTCGGATCTTGCAGTAACCTACAATGCCACTCTATCATCAGTTTTGTCCATTAGCAGTCATATTTTCTGCCATTGAGTTCTGCCCATGGTTATTTAAATATCGAAGAGACTGAAATTTAAGGCTCAAGATCCCGAATGAAGGCTGCTTAGATACTGTGGATGAAACCCATCGAAGAGCCACATAAATAAACCCCTGTTTGTGGCTTCATCTCAGTTAATAGCATTTGCATCATTCCTCATCGAGATTTTAACCGTGATACACACAATGTCAAAGGTAAAGGGTGCAACCCTGAAATTACTTGTTCAAACCACTGCTGATGTAGAAGGTTATCCCAGAGAGCCCCTCTAGAGAGTAGTTTGGCCTAAACTGCCATGATGGCAGTATAGTACCTACACTTTACCACACATGACTTTCCAATCAACTAACTTTGGTGTGTAACCATTTGTGCTGCTGGGTGGATGAAGGTGGGAGTGGGGGGGTATTTAAGGAACGTACTCATTGTTTAAAATGCCACGTGGGAAGATCGAACCAGCGACCTCGAGAAGACCAGTGTGCTAACCGTTACGCTACAGCAGCGTCCCACGTAATGTTTTACTTTGGGGAAAAAAATCCTTATTATTTCACGCGTGGAGGTAGGTTGGTGAACATTCATGTTGGCAGTTTATGTACTGAGAATGTTCTTTATGTTTAGAAAGTCAACATCAAGCTCTATAAAAAGAGCCAACATAACATAAGAAGGTCACGAAATACCAAAGTGGGAATCTACTGCCTTGGCAAGCTTCATTTGTTTTATATACGACGCTATGCAGGACATATAGAGGATACTCTTGCATTTTTAGGGGCTGGTTTAGGCTGGGTATCTCTAAATTCTCAAGCGAATAAAGATGTAAATTCTACTTTGCATAGTTTTTGTCTATAAATAACACGATGTTCTTTCTTCTACCCAAGGTGACAACATTATGCAAAGCTAAGAAAAATGAAAATGACAACTTTAATTTGATATAAACTCAACCATTGCCACCAAATGAACCATACAATTCTATGCCTTTCACAGAATACAAATAAACCACCACATGCATCATGTGCTCTGTGTATCAGTAATGGACATTCTTAATGGAAATCTTTCAAATACCGATTCAGGTTCGCAAGAGTTACCCAGCGCATATTTTTCAAGACAATTCTTACTTGCCTTCACGCTGGATAAAAACTGGAAAATATTTAACTTCTCTGTGATGCCTTTTAAAATTTTAAAGCATTTTTCATCTTTATTTCAAACTTCAACTCCTGTTTTCTCCAAAAGGACCACCCTTTCTGCAACATTAATGCCACATTTCCAGCATTTTTATTTCATAGTTTATCTTGCATGAAAAATATATGACACCCTCTTTCTGAAGGTGTATATACAGTATACTAATACTGGCGATACAACACGAGACATTGTATTATGTTAATGTTTTATTTCTGGTTAGACTGTTACGATTTAGCATGCGTTCATTTGTATTATGCTGTTAAATTTGAAACACAACCATTTTTTCTCTTCATACAAAGTCTACCACATGCTCCCCATATACAAATACAGATAACTTAATTGGCAAGTGATATGTGTACCAGTTCTGACCCCCCCCTTCCTTTACCAACCCACATGGTAAAGTATGGTCAAAGAGCCCCATGCCTCACACAGTGTCTGGAGGCAATCATCCAGCAAAGTGCTGCAATTTAGTAAATTCATTTTATTTTCAAAAATATCCTGCTTTCCAAAGCACCAACAAAATGCTGCACATGTATCCTTTCATGGATATTGACCGTGTGAAATACACAAAGCAGAGAGGGTGCCAACATACACATGCTTGCCATTCCATCCTTTGTGCACTTAGATGCTTTTTCCTACTTGGGTAGGGTTTTCGCGGTTGTGCTGTAGGAGCTCCAATGTGTTTTCGGTTCGTACAAACGCAGTCCAACCCGAAAAAACATAGCTGAGCAACGCGTTGGGGCTGGTTAGCGATAAAAAGCCTCATTGCAAAACCGTGCCCGCAGTGCATGTGCATCACACGTGTGAATGTGACCGCAATGTCTTCTTGCGTGGGTTTGAATTGCAGCCGACAGAGGCGCAGGATGCAGAGGAGGTGATCGACATTGACATGGAGGCGTCTGCAGACGGGCCAGACGACGAGGATGGAGAAATTCCCAACTCCGGCTGGGGCTCTGGTATGTGTTTGCACCAGCAGAGTGCAAAAAATGTACTTGGGCCGGATGTACTTTAGCGTTGTTGATTTTAAGAATTTTTTTCATGAAATCTATATTCACAGGATACATTTGTCCTGTCATGAAATCATCCGGGGATGTGCTGAATCTCAGAATCTCGGCCGGGTTGAGCATGGACTAGTATTGTGCACAAAAGACAGGCGTAATCGCAGAGAGGAGCACAGAAAAATCCATTGCTGTTCTGCACTCACATTGAATAGTGGGGTGAAAGTATGATCGAATGGACTACAAGGCACGAGGAGGCCCTCACCCAGCAGTGGATTGACAAAAATGGACTGTACATGTGCAAGCACATACAGGCCAAAACTACTTTGCTGCCATCACCATTTCCACTAACAGATTTTAAAAAAATTACAAGATATATTTTTGGAAATGGCATTTATTCCCAGCAGTGGTTAAAGTGATTCCATGTTTTTGGTGGTCTCTGTTTGTGACATCACTGCCAAAGTGGTGACTGAAATGTTCTTTGCAGTTTAACTTCAGATTCGGATTTTTCGGTACCGGTTGCAAATAAAACAATCTTAACTGATGCACTGTTGACATTCTGTTCACAAGTTTAATTACCCACATATTTAATTCGCTAATGCCAATATTGTAGCCATTAACACATTGTCAAACGGTTGCTCAAGCTTGGTCATGTGCAATAATAAATATATCTTTTTGGTAATGGTGGACTTGAAATGACACGTTAGGAATGCTAGATAAATCAAGTGTTTTTACTGAAATTCCTGTGATTTAAGTTATTGAACGGAAGGCACCATAATCAGACAGGCACCTGGCCAGTAGAACAATGTCTAGTTGGCATTAATGTGCCAGCCACGATGAATCGACAGAGTTTATTTGCTCCATTCCGCAACTGCAAAACTCATAAATCATCAAATGCAACTTCTCATGAGCTCTTGAGATAATGCACTTTTTTTAGCTCAGGTGATTTAGGAAAAACTTGAGACTTAACCCCTTGTACATATTTCTTTGGCTTCTTATCTACAAATTGAAGGACGACGTGTATCAACGCCAGCACCGATAGCATCATAAGCAGTAGTAGCATTTTCACTGAGTTATATTTTAGGAGTGTAATAATGCATCATTGTTGGATTCATGTTGATTCTTCAGCTCATGATACACGCATCACATCACATTTGTAATAATCATTGTTGTTTTATTTGTACATATTGTATGCAATTGAGTTTACCCCTGCAGTCGCTAGAGGCTGCTACGTCCACCACATTGTAAAAAATAAATTCTAGAAGATTCATCTTGAAGCGCAAGAGTACATCCAATTGTTAGAATCCTACTATCCACTGGAAATACAGTACACCTTCCTATTTCACAACTATCATCATCAGCCTTCCTGCAACTTGCCACTAGTTAGCACGATTCTGTAATATGATTATGATAATAATAAGTCTGTCAATTACATTTAAAAACATGGTTTTTAATATGCATATACATAAGATGCGAAATCTGAATATTATGGCTGGGTAAGAGATGTAACAAAGTGATTTTTTTTACCTTTATTCTTAAATGGCATGTCAGAAGTTTCTAATCTAGTGAGTTGTAGGAAGCAATAAATAAATTGGTCTAAGAGACAGAAACAAGACAAACTACATAAAGGAGATGCTGTTGTGCTGTCCTGGTTCGTGTGCTGCAATTGCAATCCAGAGGTCACCGGTTCGATTGGCGAGGCAGTTAAACCAATGGGAAAATGTATTTATTACCTCCCTGCTTTTATTAACCCATTAGTATAAGGGGTACTCCACAGTGTCGATTGGCAAGTCGCGTATAGTGGGGTAAAGTGTGGGCATTCCCACCTCTTCTAAGACGAGCAGCCAGCGTGGAGGTGTAAACCAAACATCCTCTAGTCTCAAGTAGAGGCCCTTCTGTCGGCAGTGGCACAGGCATGCAGCGCTGCACTTTTACCTTAACCTTTTTACAAAGACAAATATCTCCTCGTATAGCCTTACCAGACTGTTGGGGCAAGTGCTGTTAGCGAGCACCTATGAAGGCCGGCAGGGCACGGGAGGGGGTGGATGGCAAGCGCCACGCTCCACCGCCTTTGTCTCCCTAGTGGTGACATTTACACTATTTTTGTTTTATTATTTTTATTTTACCAGGTAAGGCCCACTGAGCTATATATCTCTAGCCACACAAATGATAGCTCAATGAAATGGCTTATCACGTGGAAATTTATAGCAGCCTAAACGCATGTTTCTAAATGTGGAGGGAAAAACTGGAAGACCTGGAGAGAAATCCACGTGGCTACGGGGACAACATGCAGACTCCAAATATACAGGCGTCAGGGTCTGGATCGAACCGACGACCTCCTGTATGCCAGGCGAGGGAGTTAACATCTCGCCACTGTGGCGCCCACCGCACCAGGTATTCATTTGATGCTGAGTCGACCTAGGGGAGGCCCAGGACCGGTTCAGATAATTGTCACTGGTGTTGACCATGAGCCGGGTTCGTAGCACAGCACACTAACCACTACACTACCGTTCCCCACCTTGTCACACACACACAAATATTTTCAAATAACAACTAATGACCAATAATGCTGCTCTTTATTTTTTCCAACTGTGACCACAGCTGGAGCCCCATTTCCACTGAGATGTGAAGTTGATGACTCGTAGTAAATGCCAGCACAGGCGTTTAAACTAGAGCTGACTTTGCCACGGAAAATGCCACCGTGCTGAGACCACGAAGGCAAGACCTTGGGTGCACACAGCCAGCTGTGACCATGTTGAAAACTGCTTATAACATTAACCACTGCAGTGCTGGAGAAAATTTGCTTGCATATAACCCATGGGGTAATTATTGATAATATACTTGTATTTTATACGTAAATCAGCTTTAATTTGTAAAGTAAACATGTATTATTTCCAGTCTGTCCATGCATATATGACCAAGTCAGCCTGAATGTGCCTGATGTCGCCTAGAGTCAGAAGCTAAGCAGGCTTGAGTCTGGTTGGAAACTGTACAGGAGACTGCCTGCCAATACCAGGTGTTCTAGGCTTTGACTGCAGGAAATTTCAGTGCAGAAATTGATTATTGACTCTATCTGTATGGAGATTTGAGTGTTGCCTCCATGTGTGTGTGCATGGGTTTTGTTACAGTACTCCAATTTACTCCCAGATGAAGCCATACTCAAATTAATGGATTGACCAAACATTCCAATGCAATACCCTGTTTTTATAATGATACTCAGTGTGGCCTGCCTTAATGAGTAAAGGGACATTATTATTGTACAGGTATTCAAGATACTGCTATGGTGCAATCATAAGCATATGGTCATGTAATCCAGAGGTTGCTGGCAGTTGGAACAGGGAGCAAGCTTCTTAAATCTCTCCACCTCTGTTCACACAGGAGCTTAAATGGGTCCTCCACAGTTAATCGATTGGTAGGTTCAATGTGATTGGTGCGGTTACTCCCGACTCTTCCGAGACGTCTGGCCAGCATGGATCAGTGAGCCAAATACCCTCCAGAAGGGCTCTTTAGAGACCTCTCGAGTGGGGGGCCCTCCTGCCAGCATCGGTATGTGCAAGCAATTGCAGGCTTACACTTTTATCTTTCACGGTTGTTTCTTCTCTTGTTTCAGGTGGAGGGCTTTCTGAACAAGGAGATGTCACCTTAGCAGCAGCTCCGACCAGCGCGCCCTCCTCCACCCAGAGCAGCACTGTTCCCATGGTGGAGGAGGCCGTATTGGAGCCGGGCGAAGGCTCATCCCTCGGCTTCCTGGAAACTACAGTGTCATCGATAACCCCATCCTCTGCCACCCTCAGCGAAACCACAGAAGAGGCAATAGTGCCCGTTGTAGGCATTGAGGCGTCCGCGGAGGAATCTACGGATTCGGTCGTTCAGGAGGCTTCTGCAACCACGCAGTCGTCTGCCGAGGTTCCGGCAACCACCGAATGGAAGGAGGTGGCTGCGGTAATCGAGGAAGCGTCCGCGTTCGCACAGACCACAGTCATGACGCCGGCACATACCCCAGAGGAGCAGCCCTTAGTGGAGGTGTCAGCGGAGGATGTAATGCTCACAACTGTCACTACAGCGACAAAAACAACACAAAGCAGCGAAGAAACAATTTTGAAAGATGTGGTGGGTGTAGTCTCGGAAGACAGTGACTCAACCTCGACAGAAGGCTCAGCCCCTGAGGCTCAAACCGTAGACAGATTCCTAACAGCCGATCTAGCAACGACGGCTCCGGCAACAACAACTGCTGCTGTTACAACATCGGAAATGACGACAACTACAACCGAAGTTTCAACCGAGCCGGAACCAACGACGCCAGATTTGTTTGGAGCAGCCCAGCGGTCTGGAGATGATCTATTTGAATTTTCAGTGTCAGAAGCCACGTCTACAATAAATGACAAGGCCACGAGTGAAACCGTCACTGCACAGTATCCAGAAATTACATCAGCAACCACGTATACGGACAGTGAGACATCAGCCATCAGCGTAACTAGCGCCACTGTGAGAGCGATACTGCATGGCGTGCCCAGGATCTTTGAATCAGATTCGGTGGATGATACTACAAGTCAGGTGAATTTCAGATAGGGTTTGGTCTCACCACCATATCAAATGCCATCAATTTCTGTAGGGAGTTACAGTCGACTAAGAATAAAAGGGGTTTCACTGACGATGTTTAATTGTTGCTTTAACTGTCCCCTGTATAATTTGTCAAAGGTGATTATTTTCTTCAAATTATTTGTTACAGAAGAGATTAATTTGTAAGTGGATGAATAGTGTTCACTGTCAGAAATCAACAAAAAGTGATACTAAACACACACACAGCCCCAACATGAACATTCATTTCCCATTAACATTTGAGTTAGATTTTTTACATTAATTTCCATGAATTGCTATAGGAATGTTAATATTTTACTGCAATAAAGATATATTTTTGTAAATACTTACTCTCATAGCTATTCGAGATCCAGTATCAGTATAAGTCTTTATGACCAATTGCTAACGTCTTTGTAAATTCATAATCAACGTTTTTGGGTTTAGATCGCGTTTATTTATAAATGTGTCGTAACCCTCCACCACCCGACACGGCCAATCAGTAAACATGTGTCACGTTGACAAAGACAAATAGTTCACTGCTTTAGCCCACCGGTGTGTTGAAGCCACAACATTTACAATTTGAGTACGACGTTTCGCTGGTAATTGCAACCAGCATCATCGGGCAATTCGCCAGATGATGCTGGCGAATTGCCCGATGATGCTGGATGCAATTACCAGCGAAACGTCGTACTCAAATTGTAAATGTTGTGGCTTCAACACACCGGTGGGCTAAAGCAGTGAACTATTTGTCTTTGTCAACGTGACACATGTTTACTGATTGGCCGTGTCGGGTGGTGGAGGGTTACGACACATTTATAAATAAACGCGATCTAAACCCAAAAACGTTGATTATGAATAACATTGGTCGCGAAAGCCTACGTGTTAAACTGTCTTTGCAAATGTTTGCAGTCTGTTAATGGTTTACAAACATTGAACACATTTAGAACATTGCCTGTGCAAGATTACAAGAAAGTTACATCACAGACCATGTATCACATTATTCCTGCAATCAGCACTTAGCATGGGAATGTGGAATATTCACCACTGGATCAGGGTTGTCACTAGATATAAGCTCCATCCAATATTTGCTTAAGAGTAGATGTACTGTATCTTGACTTTCATGTTACCAGACATTGTTTTTTTTCTCAACAAAAACAAAAATCCATGCCATTTTTTTTACTTGCTCATGTGTCAGTTGATAAAATATGTTTTACATGGAGGTGACTTGATGAGTCAAACTTAAGAGCACTGAGCTGGCATCACTGAGATCCTGGGTTCGATTTCAGGACAGCCACCGAAAATTACATTATGTTCTCAAGTGTAGAGAATGGATCCTCTCAGCCCATTCATCAGTGACTGCACACAAAATCCATTACGTAAAATTTTGTTTTGCACTCTACATGGAAAAAGTCCAGCTTTCGGAGTTCAAATTATCAGTTTGACTGCCATGCGATGAACATTACCCTCAGTTGCAGAATGAATAGTAGAGCACTGTCCCTTACTGTGTGGAACAAGGAACGCACGCTTGATCTCAAGACGTGACACCGATAGTACAATCGGAATAAAATTACGGAAGTAAAAATATGTATATTTTTATTTTTTTGTATGTGTGTGTTTAATGTGTCTACCAGATGCATGAAAGCACACCGATGCAGGAGGTGCCGGCAGTACGGGACGTGGTGCTGGGTGTTGGAGACGAGGACGTGGTAAACTTTGGGACGACCGCTCTTCCACCACTCTCCACAGGCTCCCCGGCCGTCCACCATCAGCACGAGGAACCCCTGGAGAAGACCGAGGTCCTCGCTGGTGGGTACCGCGCAGGCACCAAAAATGGTTTATCTTATCAATCCACCGCTGGATGAAGGCCTCCTCGTGCCTTGTCGCTGATGAGGGTTGCTGAAGATACTTCAGCAGGCTGGTCAGTGTGGACTGGTGAAGGGATTGGAAGCCAGGGCTGCCTCACATATCACCTATTCTCCTCCCCTCCACCTACTAGTGGTTTGATAAATGTACTCGATTCGGAGTTGCAATTTGATGCAAGAATCGGTGAATTTTGATTAGTTTTTACCATCCCATTGTTATTGTTTCTCTTTTATTCTGCCTCATTTGTGCAGTTTTAGTCCAACTCAGTTAGTCTATATCTATATTACATTTGCATATAATTGGTATATGGTTTGCGTAAATCATGCATGCATAGTTCTCACACGTACAATCTAATGCATATATTGTAGGGGTGGAGTGGCAGTGCAGTGGTTAGCGCACTATGATGTGAGCTCTGTCACCTGAGTTCGATTTCCATTCACGACTAACATCAGTGGTGAGTGCTATCTTACCAGACCCTTGGTCCCACCTTCACCAACCCACACTGACCTATGTGGTGACGTATGGTCAAGAAACCCCATGACTAATAAGGCGTTCGGGGGGGGGGGGGGAGGATTTAATCGAATTAGAGAACGGACAGAGAGCTGTGCGAATATTGTGATCACGAGGGGTGTACATATCAAAGGATTGACTCTTGCCATAGGAATGTGGAATTTCCACAACTGGTGCAGGGCCACTTATGCAGAAGACCACCCCCAATTCTCACATGAGCAGTGAGGAGCAATTTGAGTCTCCACTGTTCATCTCATATATCTTTGCATGTCCTCTTTTTTTTCATGAAAAATGTTAACGAATGTTCTGCCAGCGTCGTTAAGAAAATGAAGCTCGTGTTCATCTCCGGAAAGCTCCTCCTGACAGCAGATAAAACACCACCTGACATGTCACTCCCAATCCACACACACCGCACCTCACACACATGCTGTGCTGTCTAACCAATGCGGGTCTCTTTTATATGGGTTTAACAATTCATTGCCAGCCCCTCCACCACTTTAGAAATGTTACCGATTGTGTCGAAATTTCGATCAGCGACGTGTTATATTTAGTTTTCTCGTTTTTGCCTTCCAGTTGTATTTTTCCTCATTTGGTCAACCTCTTTTATACAGTTTGTAGTTTAAACACAGCAGCTGCATATAATTAGCGTATGCAGTAAAACTCTGATAAACCACGCTTCCATTTGGCAATAAATCGTAAAATTTGCTGAACCCTGTGGTCCGCGAGAAATGAAATCGCCAAAAATGTTCGAATTTTTGTACTGTGCTGCAACATGTTGTCTACAAAGTTTTTTTACCCCCAGAGCGATGCTTTTATCCTGGTGTATGACAAATGAGAGAATTTGTGAATACAGTCCCCCACATCAATGCGATTAGAATCACATCGATTTCTTTGATACCTATAAGCTCTATGTGAGCAAAAAGTTTACATATCTGACAATGATATAAAAAAAAACCCTACAAGCGTGTATTCACAGTGAATTGAGCACAAACAGCAATTAGTTGTTTACTATGGATCTAGTGTTTATTTTTACAATGACTTGCATCAAGCTCATGAAACTCACGGCACAAGAGAAGCATGTTTTTGCTATGTCAGATATTAGGCTGGGATTTTAACCCAAAATCCTAGAATCACTGGATAAATACCCCCATGTGTGCATTAGTCCACGATCTGCCAGCCGCCTCCCATTACTCCCTGATCTATTTTGTAATCCATCAAGCTGCGCTGGAAGTTAGTAATTTACATACAAGAATACATTTTCCACAAGCCTTTGCCAGTTCTTGCTTCTATGCTGATGAAACCCACAGTGCGTTTCCTTTTGAAGACTTTTTTCTTACGTATTTCACACACACACACATGAATCTCAATGACGATTGGACAACACTCCAAGTATCCGGTGATGATTTATCGCGAGATTTATTGCAAGTGAAAATATGGACAGCCAGGCTGTCACAAAACAAACATGGGCAGGATCCGTTTACAAGTGCTGCGTCTTCACCGTGCGCCCCTTGTGCACAAACCTGCGCATTGATGCGGGGATTTGGGGGGCTTCTTGAGTTACAAGAGCAGCCCTCTGATCAGCAGACTCTTTCGGAGCCCACCAAGGTTAGACCCAAGTTTAATTAGGAGCACGCTGCACCTGTGGCAACCACAGTACACCACCTCCCAGTCCCACGAGTACGCTCCGCATTCTAAAATTATCTCGCTTGCGTCTGCTCGCCAACGCTGTCCATTTTTGGTCTTTATTGTGCTTCCTTTCTCGACTATGGGAAGTTGAGAACAAATATTTTTCTTACGTCCGTCAATGCTACCTAACAACTCAATAGATGTGTGATAATTTCGACATGTCTCCAAATGCTATTGGTACTCCAGTGAAATGTCGTCGGAAAGTGTAAAGAAGTACTTACTTTTAAACATTCCGGTTTACTGAACAAACAATTAATTGGCATATTTGCCCACGTGATAACTCGATTTGCTTGGCTTCTTCAGGTGGTGGAGTCAAAGAGTTAACATTTGATGTTATACCAACACTAGCTAACCCAACAATAAACAAATTATGAATCAAAGTAAGTACATTTCTTCAATGTGTCAGCTGAAATGGTAGCGATTGCTGTTTTTTTCCTGTTTGAATGTCACACGAGTGTATAACTAAATGGGCTTGGATAACAATCACCGTAAAACATAACATTTCTCGTAGAAAATGTAAAATAACATGCATAAATAACATAGGTAACATTATCCTCCTGTATGTCGGAGAATATTCTGATGGTGTTGTTTGATGCAACATCATCATCAGCAGCCAAGATCAATCCACTGCTGGATGAAGGTTTCCCCAAGCGGTCGCCATCTCTCACAGTGCTGCCATGTAAATGGTCACATTTTTTGATAATGCACCATGATAAATAAAACTCCAGCATGCGAAGCATATATGATTTTACTGTTAAATGTTTATAATCAAGAACGTTTAATTTCCAAAACAAAACACTTATATTACAAGAACCTTACAAAGATTTTGAAGCTGTGTCATATAATTGTACTCTCAAAGCTCGTTAAAAGCAGTTGGTTTTAAGTCTGTCATTCACCACACTGATCCTTAAATGACCGAAAAGCTGCAAACTTTACACGGAACAGTTAAAGTGCATGGTTTAATGCTGTCAGAAGTCTGAACTTGCCATTGGGGTGTGGGATTTTTCACGAGGACAGACCATAACCTTTTCCAGAGAGAATGACTCATCACACAGATTTACACTTTTGCCCACGCCAAAGTAATATCCACAATTTTTTACTTGAGCTCAAGTATCTAAATCAACTCATGGTCAACATATATATGCAATCGTATACTGTACGTACACATTTTGATTTAAAGCTTTCGTGACTGCAGGGATTCATATTATTGGTTCTTTCGGTAAAGTCACGTAGAAGGGACACAATACAATATTAAACATATTAAACAATGACTTTACCGAAAGAACCAACAATATGTACGTACACAGTTAATGTTGTTGCAATAATTCTATATCAAAGTTGGGTTAACTTGGGTTTGTTACATCACATTTTAACTTTTCAATTTCCAGTAACCTATCCAACTGTGCAATGAATACTATTTAGCTTCAGGTACATTGGGTTGAAAAAGGTAGTGAATTTTTTTCCGCCAGTGCATGTTGCCAGCCTGTGACGCATACGTCAAAAGCATGGGTTACTAAGAAACATGATAGAACAAAAGCTCAAATGTGTGCAAATGGGCATGGGGGAAATGCACGCTTGGAATTATATCGAGAAAGAGGAAGATGAACTCACGAATCAGGGAACAAATGTAAGTTAGAGACATCATCTTGACTAGTAAGTGGGCTTGGGCAGGACACATCATTATAAGGATCGTAGCTGATGAACGAGACTGGTGACAGGATTTTAGCCATAAGGAGATAACTTATCTGAGAGGAAGACCACTGCAGAGACTGAGCAATGAGATCAGTGTATGTGCAAGAGTGAAATGATTGTTGCAATCGCAGAACTGTAAGGACCTTCTTCTATATGGGCCTTCTTCCAGCAGAGGATAGACCATGGCTGATGATGAAGATGCTATGTAGTTTACCTTCAAGTCAATGCCAACTAAGATTACAACTCTATTAGGCTAAATGTTTTATTTTCCTCAGTGTAAATTAAATAAAGGTTAAACAATGATCAGATTAAATAATGCTTATGAAGGTTAGTTCTCCATTTTTTAACTACATTTGCTCAACTGAAGAGCATTTTCCACAATCACCAGACTTTTACAAGCCATAATTACAAATCTGGTTGCATAATGAGACAGATTAAACTTCAATAACAATGTAATCGTTGCTTGTCCCATTAGCGCTGACTTCCATGCATTTGATTTCTTAGTGATGCATGAGACATCAACTCTCCAAATACAGAAATTACAACATTAATTGGCAGACTGTGTGAAGAATATTTATCGCCCAATAAATGCTTTTATTTATGTTGTAAGCATTTGTATTATATGGAAAGCGTACTAGATGTTCCATTTTAAGCAAATTCATGGCACTATGCAGGTAAATGATACACACCAACTAAATGATGTAATGGAAACAATATTAACCCTTGAAGTTGACACAGACGCAAACGATTTACGAAATTACAGCATAACAAAGCGCTGTGGCCACCACGTTTCAATCCTCCTTACAAATAGTTTAACTGACAAGTGGCATTTTAAGGGTTACGCTATGCAGAAACCAAACACCGCAACCTCATACCGACCAAGAAAACACGAAATCCAACACGCGCGCAACAAGACATTTTTTAACAGAGCCTCATAAAAAGAGAAAAGGAAAACGGAAGCACCGAGTCGTAAAGTGGCAGGGAGAGATGAGAAATGTGCACTTTAATCCCAGAGGGTGTTGTGTGCCGGCTGACTGTGGTGTTTCGGACTAAGCGATGCGGTGAGGGTGGGGAAAGGGTGAGTGGTGAGGAGGGAAGGTGGGGAGGTGGGCCCTCAGCCACAGCAGGGGCAGTCCTTTTGGTGAAGGCAATGGAATGACAGCAGCTGGGTCTCATTTGGCAAAAGAATTGAAGCAGCCGGTGCTGGACCACAACAATCCCTAGACAGTTTTTTTTTTAATATCCCTCTTTGCAATTAACATTAACGGCAAAAAGGTCCATGCAAATCTGCAAATACTTGTTCACACTTGTGCTGTTCCACAAGAGGGAGTTTTGTATTACCCCTCTATTTTTGCCTATTCTTCATAGTTGGCCAGAGATCTTTAAAGAGGTGGACGTTACTCACACTATACCCCACCGCGTGCGATCTGCCGATGGACTGGTGTACCAATTTCTACTGATGTGTGAAGAGAGGCAGGGGGCTTCAAGAAACTTGCCCCATTGTTTCAACTGCCTGTGTCAGGAGATCAAACTGGCGAACTGGATAGGAAGTCTAACCATGTGCTAACCATTACAGACTTTGGACACTACCTTGTATAATTTATCCTCGCACACAAGAGCACATAAGCAACCACAAAATTACGCAGTTGTAAACAAATAATGCAAAAAAACGGAGCTCAAATTACATTTAGAAAACAATAGCACGTATCATTATGCAAAATTATATTTGGTTCAACAACATTTTTTTCCGGTAAAGTCACGTAGGTTAAAAAAGAAAACAAATAAATTAAATCACGACGTTTCAGAGGCAACACAAGCTTCCGTCTTCAGGTGGAACCGTCACAGCAAAATTACTGCATCAAGTGAAGAGAGCTCTAAGAGACACGACCTTAAATACTGGTCATGGGGAGGGGGGGGGATGAGCATACCATGCCATTCTTGCAAGGTGGTTTAGATTGTTTTTGTTGCGGCACACTTTGAAAATGTCCACCAGTAAAGTTTGAATTCAATAACCTTGCTGTCAGATGTGTTGTTCTGGTGAACGGCGTGTTGCTCGGCATGATGCACGAAAGTTTTGCTCGCCGTGCTGGGAGATTTTGCAGAATATTCCTCAATATTTAGGAACTGAATATTCTCAAGAATTACTTGTAAAATTGCTAAGTAGGCACATTGAAATTCACTGTGCTTAGGCAACATATCAATTAACTGGTTTAACCATCAAAATGTGATTTTTTTAAATGTATCTGTGATGATGTTAATAGATTTTTTTTTGGCAACACACATTAGTGAATTATTGGCACCTGTAGCTGTATACCATGCCCTATTAATCAAATTAATGTAAAATAATTGTATCATTGGGGAAACTGGTATGAATGTAATTAAGACAACAGCTGTTTAGTCAAAGCATCAAAGCGACAATTCCCCTTAATTAATCCAAATACATGGAGCTAAACGTCGGACATCATGCTGAACAACACACGGTATAACCCGGAAAAGATCGGAGCGCTGTACAACACAGCCACACACATCTACGCTGTAGTTAATCGTGTTGTGTGTTTTTGTTATTATTGTCATTTCAGCGGTGATCGCAGGTGGTGTTGTGGGCCTGTTTCTGGCCGCCTTCCTGGTGGCCGTGCTGATTCACCGCATGCGCAAGAAGGACGAGGGCAGTTACACCCTGAACGAGCCCAAGCTGGCCAGCGGCAGCTACCAGAAGGCGCCCACCCAAGAGATCTACGCGTGAACGCCGCACTCCGTTGAAAAAAAAAAGAGAGCGAGCGGTGTTGTAAAGTTCACACTCTTCACGCTCAATTCTGAATTAATGTATTTTATTTTATTACCTCTTCTTTTATTCTTTATTTTTTTACCTTGAGAAGCATTTCCATATTTTATGAGTGCCCTAACTTTTGGGTTTCATTGGGCACAAGTGCTTGCGCTTGATAAACAACAAGTGGTTTAATGAGATGCAGAATTTGAAAAACACCACAGGAGACAAAGCGAATTTGTGATACTGCGTGTTATAATGAACACGCATCATGTGGGAAATAAAATTAAAACTCCTTCCGAGAGTATTACTTGTAAAACTGCCACGTGCATAGGCAACATGAATTAACTGCTTTGGCCATTATAATTTCATATTCTTAACTGTGATGTTAATTTAACTGTTTTGAACGTGGGTGAATTGTTGGCATCTGTAGCTCTATACCATGCCATTATTAAATGAATGCATTTAAGACTACAGCTATGTAATAATTGCATCAAAGCTACACGATAGCCCTTAATTCATACAAATATACCAACAGTCAATAGAAAAAATGGTTGTTAACATCTGATCCCCATTATTCTTGACCAAACACACATGCATTGTTAAACATTTTTTTTTGGCTTTTGTCAAGAGGCAGTGTAGAAGTTTTAATGAGTTACTCTATAGCCCATCCTGCTGATTTCAACAGGGCACATTTTCAAGTGAATCATTGTAGAGTCACAAGTTAATGAAGCACCTAACTGTTGTAATATCAGCAATGCATGATGGTTAAAATTATGACGATTTTCATCAATGATTTACTTTGTATACAATTTAAAAACAGGTATCTAGTACGTTAAAGTTATCAATGTATTGACTTAACATTGCTAGAAAGGTAAAAAAAAAGAATATCGTTCTGGATAATTGCCGTAGCTTTGTACTTTGTTACATGTATAATCAAACAGGGTTCATCAATCTCTTGTATGTATTTACATGGTCCCCATTCCCCTGCCCCCACCCCATCATGTTACAAATCAAGCTGTTCAGGTTAAATGTAATGTCGTATTGCAAAGCTATTGGTTTAATGCTTGTATAATTATTTTAGTTACAATTATTGGCCTCTTATTAAAGAGCGTTGTTTTTTTCTTGTTATTTCCTAATTTGTTTTAAAGGCTGCATATCTGGTGATGCTTCAGGTGTTTGATTATGGTACGGTAGTAATACGAATTGTTAAATGGATTTGTAAATTGTTTAAAAAAATTGCTCACCAACTGATAACCCCTTAATGTTTGTCAACAGCACAATGCAGCAAATGACACGGCCTCTGTAGAAAGGTTCAGCATAATTCACACACATATTTAACATTTAGTATTTGACATAAACAAAATTGTCATTAAACTATGCTATAAACATTTAGTGTCTGTGCATAAATATGCCAAGCACTTTTGAAATTCCGAAACATAAATATTGAAAGGTAAAATAAAACAATGCATACAAAAAACACCAACCGAAAAAATACATTTAGATACCATCAATAAACCATGAGCTTTAAAACATTTAGCTCTGTCGACACTGAAATGTAAAACTGTAAATATTTCTGCGAACTGTCCAAGCTAATTTTAAACAGAACATTTATGTTCAGGTTATTTGGAGCACAATTGATTTAAATTGGTCCTTTTGACCATTTCTTTATTTTAGGTTTTCTTGAATTTCCCATAGCATTATTCACGTCACGTAAATTGTTGGCTATTACATGAACACACACACGCACACTAATAAACACACACGGAATCGAATGAATCCTGTTGGTGAAACCCGGAGCAAACCTTATTGCCACAGCAGCCACAGTTGTCGAGCAAACATTTCAAGGAGTCAGCATACTTTTCCCACTGTTGGTGATTAACACTTCCTCGATCTCTGCTTTATTTCTGCGTACGAAGCATTGCTGGCTGAGGGCCTACGAAGCACCTTATGAAATGTCAGAGGGATCAGGGAAAGCAGCACCGCCTCGCTTATTTATTATGGATGCTCCGTATTACCCTTCCCCCCGCCCGCCCCGACAGCATAATAAAGTAAATAAATACAATTCATATTTTTCTCCCTGCGAACAATATTTAGGCTGAATGAACTCTTGTTTCCAGCGATTTCTACGTGCTTTGTTTTTGTCTTTAGTCATAAAGGTTTGTTTGTCATGAAATATTGCTAATGTTTACCTTGACGTTGCTGTTGTTCGTATTATTTCAAAGGTGCATCTACATGTGGTACCAATTAATGAAGCTAATTACGATGAATGTAAGCGTTGTTAATTCTTTAAGCATTGTGAGGCTGTGTGTACAGTATTTTCCATGAAGTCCCATTTATAATAATGTTGGACAATTAAACAGTGATTTCTTTCATCTATGACTAGTTTTCTTTTCAAGCAGAATTATTGCAGTAATTTTATATGTCTGATATGTTTAGGCATGTGGTTAAAAAAAGACGTATAGAATGTCCTTGCTTGCTGTCAATGGTATTTCAATTGCAAAGGTTAAATAGTCATCCTGTTGAGAACATTTCCCCAGTTCTGGCTGTGTATTGAATGCTTCCTCTTAGTCTGCAACAGACGTAACGCTTGCTGTCTTAATTTCGCAAACCGATTTTTAAGTCTGGTTCATACGTATAAATAAATTACCTGATGACAAATAACGTCTGATGAAACACATTTGTGTGAGTCACGACCACCGTGTACAAAAGCTAATGAATTCATATTTTCATGAGGCAAATTCATCCTGATTTTTTTTAAAGAAGATCTGACATACTTTACTGAAATTGTGAATGACATGACATTTTCCTAACCCTCACAATACACTGGGGACAGGCAGAAGGAATTCATATGAAATGAGTTCTTAACCCTTTCACTCCCAAATCTCAATATTCAGCCACTGAGGTAGCACATGATGTGATCAAGCATAGATGAGCAATGATCGCCCACTTTTAATTAATAGCAGCAAGTCTGTAAAACTGGCAAGTGTAACTGTGATCACAAGAATCAAGTCCCCTTGCAGACAAACTGTAATTATCTCATGAATGCAGCATTCCTGAGTTCCCATAAATGTGGGAGTGCATTTTAAGCAGTACATATGGAACAATTTTCAACAGGTGAATATTTCTCGACACGGTAATAACATGTTATGAAATATCCTGGCTGCCGTTTCCACTGGCAAATAGTAAATTGTCTCTGTCATCACAATTTATGCATTTCAGCAATTTTTGTTTCATCCACCTTCCACACAGACCTTTGCAAATCAGCATATGTGGATTTCTTCAACTGGGTCGCGTTGACTTTGGTGTCTTATATGTTTGAAAACAATTCCTCTTGAACTTCTGAATTAAATAGATCCGCAAGGTTAAAAAAAACCTAAAGCTTGAGCAACAAAATAAACAAACCTGGATAAAGTTATATCCTCTTTGTCCTTTTCATATCTGGAATACATTTGACTGGAAATGGAATAAAATGAAAAGTATTTTTTTCCTCTTAAAAATAACTAAAACGTTTCAAGAACACAATTCTAACTAAATAAATTAGAGTTTATGTCAAAAGGCAAGGGCAATAATAATGTTTGCATAATACATCTCTGAACCGTTATTTGTTAATAAGCATTCTTACAGTAGCCCAACGTGACCCAACTATATCACCGAAGCTGTCCAAGTCACCCTGACTTGACAAACGTGCCAGGGCGAGCTGTGTTTTGATTGGATGGAAACTCCTCTCAATGCATGCAAAGGAAACATCCATTCATTTGGTGGTGGCAGATCACCGGGACCCTGTCAATCAGCAAGCAGCCACAACATTATAGTGGGCTTGCCAGCCTGCTAATGTAGTCAAGTGATCACACATTTGCATTCTGGCCTCTGGGCCTGGTTCCAAAGCTCAAGATGGCTGCTTGTGAGATTCTCAATTGCATTTCTGCTCTTTGAACTCTCTCCCCTTGATGCTGTCCTTGCGTGACTCTTGCTCAACTTGCAGATCCTCGCGATGGTCTGCTTCATGTTGACATGCACAATAGTGCAAGGGGTTATAACGGTTCACACAGGCACCATACATGGCAATGAAGAATCGGTTTTTGCAGGCAGACAGACGCATACATTCATCCGGACGTCTCGTGACGACACCGCTTCTCATTAAATGTTAACTCATTTTTATATTAACCGTATAGCATTAATGTTATTATTTTCTCCTGGCCGGTTTTACATAACGCAGGCAACCCGTCTGGGTGCTTTTTTATTGTGAAACCTTTGATCAGTGTGCAGATTTCACTCCGCTGATGAATGTATGCACTAGCTTAAAACAGCGACCCTCGTGTTTGTTAGTTAAGCTCACACACAGAAAGAACAATTCACCAAAAAAAGCAGGTTTCCATCAATTTGGATTCAACCTGTCCCCGAGAATAGAAGGAAAAAGGTTGCTGTACCAGTAATTAACAAGCCCCCAAGGCTACAGGAAATGCTTATATAGCCTTCTTACGAACCCTAACATATACCAACGTCAGTAATTGTCAAACATGTTGCTTTAAATCCCTGCACTGTTGCTCAGACCTGGCCTCTTGATAAGTATTATAATACGCAGCACAGACACGGGTCGCCTAGACGATACAAGCGGTGTCTGGTTTTCGCTTGTCAGACGCGCTCAAGCATCTGGGATTCGAGTAATTTTCCCAAAAGAAACTTGACTTCCCCTCAAAGCATTTCTCGCGACAAAGATTCCGCTTTGGTAACATATGGAAGGAATTGTATCACGAGTTGGAGGTGATTTAATCAAATGTTACGGCACAGACGGTTAACCATCTGCAGAGCAAGCGACGAGTGTGGTCTTATAACGTCTGGTGGCGAGAGAAGGGAGAGAGAGAACAGGGAAGCTATGTTACCGTGCGGAGTTACAGTGCAAATAATGGTGCACTGCAAGAGCAGTCGCACACACGATGCGAGCAGTTGGAACACCTGACTTGCTTTGGTGGAGGGCTGAACGATTAATCGATTTCAAATCGAAATCGCAATTTTGAAACAATGCGATTTTTTAGATTTGAAAAGTCCCGTTACTTTTTTATTGGAATTGTTTTTTTTTTATATATCTTTATTTGTTTAACTTAACAATTGTTCTCTGCTTGATTGTTCTATTTTAATGAAACCATTTTAATAAATACATGTTGGAACATGTTTTTTAAGTTATCATCCTTGCATTAGAATATATAGAGCAGTTCATATTTTGATGGTATCATGTGGTAATGCTCCATCACGTGTTTTAAATCTATTACACAGTGAATATTGAATTGAATCTTGACTTAATTTTTTTATCGCAAACCAAATCGCAATATCTGTCAGTAAAATCGCAATTAGATTTTGTCCCCAAATCGTTCAGTCCGACAAGTTTGGTGCCAGCGTTCCTCTCAAAATGTCTGCACGCCGCTTCAGTGACTGCAAGAAATAGCACTCAAGGGTAATTGTTTTTTTATCCTTTTATCTGGCAACAAAACTGACACCTTTTTTTACGAGGAGTCATGTTTGCATAGACCACAATACCTGCAGTCATAATGCAAACAGAAAACATAACTCTGATAATGTATGCACTGTCCTTGAAGTTGATTGGTCCACACCCGAGACAGCTTTCCTTAGAGCCTAGGACAGTGCATACATTATCAGAGTTATGTTTTTTGTTTGCATTATGACTGCAGGTATTGTGGTCTATGCAAACATGACTCCTCGTAAAACAGGTGTCAGTTTTGTTGCCAGATAAAAGGGTAAAAAAACAATTATCATGTTTTTTACTGGCAAATGAGGTACCAATGGAGGACTCAAGGGCTTGGCATTTTTTTTTTCCGTGTTATTTTTCCCAATGACCAGGTCATGCAAATGGCTCCCGTGGAGGATTTTTTTTTGGGGGGGGTAATTTATGGAATGATTTACAAATGCTTTGTAGTTTGACAGTTTTCAAGCACACGTGCAGATTGCTTTGCCTCCATTAGTCAATGTAATTCCATCACCCAGAATCGAGGTTCGAAAGTCACGCCGATCAAAATAGTTTTAACAAAACATGAATTAAATTAGTCAGTTGCTGTTTTTGGGGTTGTATCACTTGCTGTTTGGCATGATGTCTAACATTTTTCATCGTGTGCTGGGAGATTCGTCGATTCCTACAGTACCGAACATAACCCAACTTAATCGCCAAAGTCACCCGAACTTGACAAAATCGGCAGGGCTAGATGGAGTTTTGATTGGATACAAAGTCTCCTTGCACATAAATGCAGCATCCATTCATTCAAATTACACCACCACAACATTACAATGGCCTCACCATCCTGCTAAACCAGTCAATTGATTACGCATTTGCATTCTGGTCTCTGGGCCTGGTTCCAAAGCTCAGACTGCTGATTGTGATTTTCTCAATAGTATTTCTATTCTGTTAACTCTCGCTCTGTGCTGTCCGTGTGTGGATCACAATGTCCGACATTTAATTCCACATGCTGGGAGCTTCAGTGGAGCGAAACGCCGGACATAATGGTAAACAACCCACGGTACAACCAGAAAACACATTGGAATTCGACTCTTCATTGTGTACATGTATGGCCCTTTGCCAATATACTATTGGATGAGGGCCTGCTCATACTATGCAATTCCTGGGGCTTGTTTGACCAAACTCCACCATACTGGCCAGATTGTAGAAGGTGGTGAGGTAGACATGCAGGACCATTTAAGTGCAGTATAGCAATCGGACAATGTCCTCAAAAAGTTTAAGTCTAATTTCATCATCTATCTTCATAGCATCTGAGCTATGAACACCGCATACACTTAGAGCAATAGGTGATTTGGAATGCTGACTCAGAATAATAAGTGTGCAAATCATCCTTGCAGGGTTTGTAAAATATATACTGCTTTGTGGAAAGTGCGGAGGCCGACATCCACCCCCTCCACTACCCCCTCCTCCTCATCGGCAAGATCTCGCCGATCAGGTGATTGACTCCCCCCGCGCCAGCGCCCTCTCTGAGGGACATCGCTACTCGGCTGGCTCACCACCGCCCGCGGTTATCTCACGCGCGCTCAAATTACACCACCACAAAAACGAACGCGGAGGCGTGCACGCGCGCGCCCCTGCAGGCGTGCATTTCTCTCACAAAGGTTGGCGCTGAACAGAAGAAACGGACGACAGTATGAATATGCGCATACCAGCGCTAAAGAGAAAGAAACAGCGGCAGATATGAATATGCACGCATACCCCCCCCCCCCCCCCCCCGTGGTTAAGCCTTAATTCCGCTGTGCAAAAACGCTGTGTAAACGCACGCGACTGCCGGCGGGTTGATCGTACCCCGCCCCAATTACTCACGCGGCGCTGCAGGCGCGCGTTTTCCACACACACGCACGCGTA